ATTCCGAGCTTTCGAATTATGTTTGTATTTTTATGCAGATGCTTTTCTTTTTTTGCTTAGACTGGCGCAGTGGCAAATAACTTTGCTCTTATGCTGAATACCGAAGATTCGGCACCGCCGGTGCATAACCAATCCCTCCAAATTTACTCACTCGCTTCGGTGGTTAAATGGTACTGGTATATGCCAGAGAGTCATATCCGCCATTAGTTTGCTTTTAAGCAACCTCCAGTGGAGGGGACCATCGATAACCCGCCTAGCGCTTGATTGCTGGTGGCATTTGTTGCCATTCGGGTTGCTTGCCGAGTGTCTCCTCCTTTCAGTGTGAGTGAATACGTAGGGGAATGAATACGTATTTTCTGGATTTTTGAAGACGATTTCAACCGGTAAGGATAGTTGGGTTCGAAATGGATTTTACTTTTCAAACTTAGGCAGTTCTGAATTTCTTGGATATTGATTTTGCCGAAAAATGCAAAAATGCTTTACCAGCTTTACGGCTTTGTTATGCTCAAATAATTTGCTGCTTAAGCTTTTCGCTACTCTTCAATCCCCATACCGTTTTGAACAGAATGTCTCTGGAATATTTATTGAGGGATTTCAGGAACTCTAGGACCTTTAGAAAATGTTTCATGCTTCACTAAATGTGAAACAGTTTTATCAGCTGGCATAATAGAGGAACAGAAAACGTCCAGACAGTATAACGCAAAATTCTACTTTGCAAACTAATAAGTTAGCGAACTATCGATATTTTTAGCTGCGTTTAAATATTACCGTAATCGATGTTACTACTGTTATCAGTGCTCTTACTGTTGTCATTATTATTATAATTATTAATATTGCGAAAAAGCTTTTAGCTACAAGCTAATTAAATTAAATAATCAAGCATTACAGATGACAATAATAGTATTGATATTGCGAAAAAAAAAACTTCGTTCTTGTCTGTACCGATTATAAGAAAATTTATGCTAGCAGCAGGCTTTGTGTAAATTAAGTAGCGTCAGTGGTTCGATCCCGCCAGTGGGGAACTGCCATTGGTTTTTTTAAATTTTAATTGGAAAGAAAATGGTTATAAAAAACTTGAAAAGTTTTTATAAAAAAGAATGCTAATAGAAGAGGCGAAAAGAAGATATCTAAAAGACAAGAACTAAATGAAAGGGAAAGTTATTGTGCGGAAAAAAGAGGTAAATGAAGCTGAAAAGGAGTATTCCGGCCCGGTAAGTATGCTGGCGAGTATCTTTAAAATTTCCTCCCCAAAAAAAGGCGACGACTTCAACACGTTCACCGATCGGAATGACAGGTTGAGCTGAAGTTAAGCTGCTTCACTTCGTTGTTTGTCACTTTTTCAGCTCGAGTGGTTGGCCCAGAAGAATTGCTTTTTAACTCAGATTTTGTTTCCGTGTTTTTCAATGTTGCTTTAAAATAAGCCTGCAAGTCAACAGTGCTTCTAGCGCTGTACTGCTACTGTTTTGTAATAAACTATGCTTTTATGCTTGCTTGTTTTCTTTTTGCGCATGATTTATGAACTCTTTTGCATACGTATCGACAGCAGCATCAAAGAAATTAGCTGAATGAAACTTTGAATCTCGGAATCCTCAAAAAGAAGGGGATAATACGAATTTTACTACTACCTCAACAAATACTCTCCGCTTTACGACTTAAACGCTGGAACGGCCATTAGCCCACCACTCCCAAATTCCACGGCACAATATACGTACTACTTAATGTAATGTAGAAAAACTTTTCACGCTGCAACGTAACTTGGTTTTTATGCTTTGCTCAGTATTACTTCACTGTTGCATCGTGTTTTTTTTTTCGCTATCGATACAATTAGCAAATTTTCCATTTTGCTCAGTTTTTTGCTTGACGGCATCGATTTCTGGATGATTGCACGCATTTTAAAAGACGCAAAAAGTGCCAACACGTGGGTCTTTTCAAAAAAAAAGACACAAAAAAAACCAAAACTGGTCGAGCGCAATCGTGTAGGAGTCCCACGTTAGTGTTATTGAAGGCAAGCGAATATTTAATTTAATTTCAAGAATCCAGCAGAGAACCCAGGCTGTAATGCACCAGGCTTTCCAGTGCGATCATGCATTTCTGCACTAAACTCGCAGATCGCTATTAGCAGGAATGATCCCTACGCTGTAGCCTAACACTTAGGCTAATATTGGCCATGTTTTGATCCTTACCGGCATGCAGGAGGAAGGGCATCAGTTGGGATGAAGGTGTTGCATTACAGTTGGGATGAAGGTGGTGCACATCCAGGTGCATGATTACCGGTTTTTTGCATGAAGT